ATGCTTTGTCAGGTCTGTCCGCAAGATGACAAGCAAACAACTTTTAGCATGCTTGTTTTCTAAATGGCGTTCGGATCAGGGCTATGCTATGCTGCCTTGTTTCAGACTAAAGTAAACCAATAGCTGGAATTAAGTAACAGACACATATATATTGAAAACTTACCAGGTAGTTCAACTTCCTAGCTTACTTTTCACCATGCGCTCTTCTTTTCTGTCTTGGCTTTTTATAAATATGAAGTAGTGTCACAGAGCTCTGGGTGCCCACTGACGGCTTCAACAACGACAGTGGCGATACGAAACTCGGTGGCTTGCTGCTGTAGACAGGTTGAAAAGCTTGAGTAAAGATAAATTTACTTTTTAAAGTAAAAACAAAACTCTTGTACAACACTCTGTAAAGCCCAGTTTTCACTCAAGTTGAATATTTTCAGCTGACACAAATTTTGCGTATCCGTGTCACCCAATTTCATTCGGCTGGCACGAATTTGCAACTATTCCCGTATTTGCATTGACTTTGTATAACACTTCGCTTTCTGTGTGAACACACAGAAAGAATGTGTAAATCAATTGACAGGGAGCATTGTCTAATCAAGTTCAATCAACTATGTAAACAGGAAGTCACTGTAGTACCACAAGTTACCATAAGTTCTAAACATTACAGTTCTGTCTTTTGTAAATTTAGGTATTTGTTTACTTGTGTCTGGATGTATGGAACATCCGTGTGCTTTAGAGTTAGTTGTATTCATACTATAGTAGAATGAGTGGGAAATATTCAGTTATGCTAACCTAACTGACGTATTTACACATTTGCTGTAAGTTTTTTGGTATTATTTTTGTCAAATTTGATCATTGCAGCAGTATTAAACAGAAATGATCAACTTTCAAGTCAGATACGTCGGCCGTCTTCTATATTAATTCTTTCACTCTTTTCTCTAGCACACTAACGTTAGCTTTCAGTAAATTACCTCAGTTAGCTACACAACAGTTACACCTGGCAGTAGGTGCAATTATTTAGCAACAACTAATCTCTACGTAAGAACTAGTTTGTGTGCTGCAACTGGTTTTAATTTGTAATGCTTAAAAATACACTCAAGGCTTGTGCAGCCTACACAATTTCACCGTGAGCAGGTAGGTTGTTGTGCTGTTGAGACTACACAACCAGCTGTCTTGTAGCGGGAGTCTTGAAGTCGTTGTGGTGTTGACACTATGCGACTGATCGGCGACAGGGAGTCACACACTAAGCGAGCTGACATCGAGTAACAGCCTGCTCTGTCAGCTGCCTACTCTCGTTGGCTGGATGTGGATGTGGAGTCGGCCGACTCCTCCAGATAGCTAATTTACCACCAATCACAGCCCGGCTGTCGGCGAGCTCGGCGACAGGCAAATCAGGCTTAAAATCATGTAGGCTTTAGTAAACACTAATGTAAGATCGAGGCTAACTTTCATCTTAGGAACAGCTGCTGCAACCAGCTCCAGCTGTGTCTGTGTGTTTGACTTTGAGCACTGTATCTCAGTAGGCTGATGAAAATATGCCGGATTTTATTGCATTTAGCTGGTATAGATAAGTCAAGAGGTCGTGTTCTCCTAATCCTTATGTTTTGTGTTCTCAGGTTATCGTCACATTCACCTTTTGTCCAAAGATGGAACCAGTATTCCTCCCGCCTCCTTATTCGTACACATCCGGATCACAGAACTACGATAAAGCTTCTTCACTTTCCTAATACACCAGAGTTATTAGAAAGAACATCCTCAGCACGCATTATTTAGCGATGAGAGTAGAATCCTTCCTATAGAAAAAACTTACAGTTACTAAAAGAGTATTTAATATTATTCTTATTTGATGTGAATAAATACTATGCCAAATGTTTAGTGGTTCCTAGGCAGCAGTGGAATATTACATAAAGCATGTTTTTGTTTTGTTCATTACAGTGTGTGTAATTTGTTCCTGTGATTGACTTGAACTTTGCTGCTCATGTTTGGTGTACTGCGTCTGTAGCACAAATATTAGTTTCTGCTGAATGTGCCACCAGTATGCTTCGATCAGGATATTTATTTTCTGTTAGTATTTAATGAACAGCACCTCATGAACACTCACTGCAGCCCTGAGCTTTCACTTTGGTCAACATGCAAAACTTGAAAGCAATTCTCTTGCAGCTACACAGAAAGAAAAATGGTTACCATTTTAACGGGGACACAGTGTTTTTACCAGCAAGGACTAAGTCATAGATATAGATGTTATAATATACAAAATACCACAAAAATTGCAAAGATAACCAAAAAATAAAATAAATATAAATTTATGTACCTTTATGTTCTTCACCAAGTTTCTCCTGATGTTCACTTTAGGCTACTTTGTGTGATCAAATCAAATACTTTTTCTCATTTCTCATCATTGCAAATTAATCAAACTGATAAAAAAAAGTAGTTGTAACAAATTATAAAATTCTGATCCTTTTGGAAAAATCTGAGCCAAGACACTATTAAATCATTGTGGATTCTTTTCATAATCTTTGCTCATTCAGGTAAGCTGTGCTTCACTTTGGCAACACTTACAGTTACACTTATTATTCCCAACAACCACCAATATCACAATCGCAGCTTTGAGCAGCTGCACTGGAGCAACTGGAGGTTGAAGGTCACGGGCATAACGACGCCTCCCAATGTTCCCGGTCAGATCAGAGAGTTCAAGAGAATTTGGCCTGTGGCTGCTTTTCTGCTCTTCCCATTAACACCAGAATCTTCTGCATGTCGTTCTTTTATAAAAAGCAGAAGTGATTGGTTGGGCTTGATTTGCTTGAATAACATGATTATCTCATAAATATTAAGCTGAAGAGTAACAGGCGGAAATCACAATTTAATACTCATGAGTAGTCTTGTGTCATCTGATGTTATATTTGTGGCATGTACATACAATCCATTTGTGCAAAAGTGTTTTGATATGTCTTGTTTGTTTTTTTTTGGGATACACCGCAACATTCATATGTACTGTACAGTGTAGCACATTGTAGTGTTTAAATGACTATTTGCTTGTTTTTTATTGTATAGGACCCATATTCATTTGCCTCTTTTTGCATCTACCTGCAAATAAATAAGATTTTCACTTACTGATTGAACTTCTTACTGAGCTGGGTCACTTTAAATATATTCTTACATAACCAGAAAGCAAGGGAAGAGTTTATGAGCTCCAGGGCAAGACAAAATGTATGCAACACTGAAAAAGGAAAAAACACAAGTGGATAATCTGCTGGGACAGGAACAATGTGCAATCATTTATTGCCCTTGCCATGCATTAACTAATCAAATATCTGACATTCCATACTTGTTTTTCCTCACGCGTCTAATCTCTCAAATGTCTTTGAGTACTGTATTCTCTTTGCTTTGAATCTCAAATTTATATTTAACTGTATATTTAACTTTCTGTGATATATATATACAGTATAGTTCAAGCCTCAGTACATTGAAGATAAGGATTACACAGCATACCATGTGGACAAAAGTAAAGGCTCTACCCAGTGGTGGACAGTATCTATGTACTTTTACTCAAGCACTGTACTTATATACATGTTAGAGGTATTTATACTTTACTTCAGTATTTTCTTTTCATGCCATTTTCTACTTCTACTATTGTACTTTTACTTAAGTACATTTATCTGACAGCTTCAGGAACTACTTACTTCACAAAGTAAGGTTTGTACACACAAAACACATGAAGATTTTAAAAAATATGTTGTTTTGTTATAAATTAAACTGCCCAACATTAAAATAAAAAATACCTCAACAACTACAACAGTAAAATCCTGCTTTTACATTAATAATAATCAAATGATATAATATATAATAATATAACAGTCCATTTTTCCTTCCGCTTTGAGTACTTTTAAGTCTTTATTTTCCTGATTATGCTTACATACTTTTACTTTAGTAAAAGTAGGACTTTTATTAGTCCGTAGGAGTCCTTTAGGAGTATTTTTACAGTGAGTTGCAGTCATAACAATCTTGCTGACATCTAGCCTTTACATTTGATTGACACAACACAAATGATGTTCATGTATGACTCGTTCTACTCATGGATCTGCTTCATGCATTAGATGCCAACTTGGGGGGGGTTGAATCAGTTTTAACATTGAACATTGAACCATATCACTGAAACAAGTGTGTATTTTGAGGAAATTCCTGTGCATAAAAGGCATAGTTTTTCAGACATGCCTTCATCTGAAGGCAGAAATTGTAGCTTAATATCACAACACTGAAGTTAGCTTCCGATTCGGCAGTTAAGGGGAAAGTTAAGGGAAACCCAGGTCCAGATCAAAAGTCACTATGCCTATACCTTTATTCTATTTGTGAAAATGAAAAAAATGACTTGTAAGGTCAAATGTGGTCTACATGTAAAAACAAACAAACAAACAAAAAAACACTACCTAAATCGCCCTTTTTTCATTTTCACAAGTAGAATAAATGGTTCACAAATCTGAAACTGTGTTTTAATGAAACTTTAGCCTCTCTTGAATAATCATCAGCTCTAGGCGTAGTGGTTTTTGATCTGGACCTGGTCTAATGTATAACATAGATTTATAAACATATAAATCGACCTTTTCGCACACTTATTTATTAATGTGTTTTAAGCAATTGTAAATAAAACCATTTACTAGGATTAATATCATGCGGAACTTTCTTCCTGCTCTGTTTTCCACCGCTCAACTAACTCGGGACACCAGTCACGCTTGTCATGTCAACAATGGCAGGTGCTAGGAATAGAAACAAGTACTTCCGGTATACATTCAGAGTAAAACCAATGAATAACGTTACCTTCTGTGCGGGTGTTTTAGTTCAAATTCAAAGATCAAAACTGAACATATATTAATCATAAGCAATCATATCATATGTAACTGTCCTTGTAAGGGAGACAACAGTTAGACTGATAAGGGAGGGAGAGACAGTAGGTGTGAGCGAAAGGAAGGACACTTTAATTTGAAGGCGAAACAGATTCACTTCCGGCGACAGTACAGATGACTTGACAACGTCGCACGCTGTGGACATCGGGGGAGCATCAGGGGCGAAACACCTTTTAGATTCAGTTTATCATAAAGTTAACATGGTTGGAAAGATAAAACATGTCCGCCAGAGGATTCACCAGGAGGCAGTGAAGCTCGTGAGGCCGAGCAGCCTCACACCGTCGCCCTCCTCTGTGGTATCTCCCAGTCTGGAGAAGCGTGCTGCCTCCGGACCAACGTTACACACATTAAGTCCTCCACCGCTGGGAAACAACAAGAGTGACGCCTCGAGCGACGTGAAGCAGGTCTGTGATGCACTGAACGACGCTCACTTGTTATATTGCATGTTCTGGTTACGGGTAGGATGTCAGTCACAGTCTGTGTTGTAGTCAGGATGTTTGACGTTGTATCCGCAAATACACACTACCGGTCAGAAGTTTTACAACACCCCCCATTTTGTACTTTGTAATAAAATATATGTACTTAAAGTGTAGGTGACATTTACACCAGTGGTTCTCAGAGAACCCCTAATTAGAATTTTTGTCCATCTGATTTTTGCTTTTATATGTTTTATTACTGAAACTCTATGAAGTGCATGAACAAAATAGCCCCATTTCTGTCATTGTGTATATATAATAAATGATTCCCCTTTTTTTTTTTGGCTGGGAACCCCCTCAAGGACCCCTGGGCGTCCCCCGGACCCCACTTTGAGAACCACTGTTTTACACTGGGAACGCTGGGGACCATGCATTTGTTGTGAAATGTTCTGGCAACAAGAAATGTTAAAATTCTTCGAAATAATTAAACGTGCAACGACATGTACGTAGAAGAGACAAATGTGCATTGTCAAAAAAAACAAAACAAAGCTACTGATTACTGCATCATATTCCATTATATATTTTATATTTATCCTAATTGTGTGTTTCCTTTACATAAATAAAGACATTTCCAACATAAATTGATCCAGAATGTAGGAAACTCAGTGTTTTCTGGCGAAGGACCTCCAGACCCCCCACTCATTTATTTAAGTATCGAATATATGTTCAAAATACTGTTAGAATATCTACTCGTCTTATTGTGCATCGTCAAATCTCATGAGCAAAATGTATCGTCACACCCCTAATATGAGCCCTTATGTCCCCAAGTGACGCTCTTGAGTACAAGTCAGTGTAAAAACTTAAATGGCACAAAAAGTTAAAAACAACGTTGTGAGACATTTTAAAAATTAACGATTAAATAAACAAGTTTTATTCATATGTCACTGTAGCATCAACTGATGTCTTCCTTCATTTGTTGCCTACAAATAAAGCTTCTCAGGGTGTTTTAACACAGGACGTTCCAAGGTGTTTGCACGATGCTGCACAAATTTGTTTTTGCATCAACTTTCACGGCTGCAGAATAACCAAAGAAGGTAAAGACAAAGTTTAGGTCAGAAAAACTATATAGACATACAGTTTTCAGGGATCAAGTTTTAATTAACAATTCATGTTATTATTATAATTACACTAAGTTATTTGCACAATATTATAATATTAATGAAGGGAGACAAAGCAGTCATCAATTGAAATAATGAACAAAACTCCTTTAATTTAATTGTTAATTTTATTTTGTCTGTTTGTACGTGAGGTCAAGATTTTTAACTTTGACAGTTTGCTGCTTACTTTTGTACCATTTTAAGGTTTCCCACTGGACTTGAACTACGTATATTTACATACAGACTAGAGAAAATGGGGGTGTTCTAAAATCGTTTGACCGGTGGTGGTACATCTAGTGAAAGACTGACATTTTATGAATGTGGCACAGTGATTTTAGGGAACCTTTCTATCATCGGAGAAGTTGTAGTTATTTACCTCAATAAAAAATACCGCTTTATTTTGAAGATTCACTCCGGTGGGAACTCGAAGTGTAACCGTGGCGACGAGTAGCCCACCTGTGCGGTGGATAATTGCTTTGATAGACTTATTTACGTATGTTCTAAAACCCTTACAGGCTCTTGCAGGTGGCTCCTTCCCCACTGGGATCTTTGCTGGCACTAAAATAACTCCAGAGGCCCTGGTGCAAACACTGAAGTTTGAGGAGCCTCCAGATGTGCCCGTACCTGCTAAGAAAGGTGAGACCTGCTGCAAGTTATTCGATTGAACCAGTATTCCAGCAGTTTTGTGTTGCAAAGTTGGGGGGGGCTAGAGACAGATTTTCAAAAGATACCCTGACGGCGCCTATCTAAATTTAAAAACTACAAATCAGACCAGAAACTTGGGTGTTATCTCATTAACCAAGTCATTGTGTATTATTATCTGAAAAACGTAGCAAGGATCGGAGGTATGCTATCCAAACAAGCCATGGAAAAGCTTATCCATGCTTTCATCTCTAGTAGGTTAGATTACTGCAAACAAAGTCAAAGCTTCTCACACCTGCACCTCTGGTCTCTCACGCCGGCGTCCTCCGTCTCCTTCCTGTCTCTCTCTCCCTGTTTGTGTCCCTGCTGACTTTCTCCATCAGCAGCATGTTTCACAAAGTGGCCGCGTTTAATAAACTCACCCGTGATTCAGTTTTCAAGTGCACAGCATCATGTGGAGAAAAACCAACGCGTTACTCGGTGACATCTGCAAGTGGTGCGTTCACTGTCGCTCCGTGATGTAAAATTTCCAGATAACATCTCTGTTTCTCCACAAAATGCTAAAATGTTTTAAATGCTTTAACCAGATTGTCAGCAGTCCACTTGACATGGCTCACATAGCTGGGCTTGTGTTCATAAACCGGGAGGTGGGGAAGTTGATGTCATGACATGTACATTTGGTGGTAAGCTTGACGGCCTCGCCTTTCAGCAGTGCTTTTCACTTGTTCCGCGCCAATGATTTCCTGGGTCTCATCACGGCGGGAGGTCGGAGGCCTCGTGGTGCTTTGACCTAGGGCACAGACAAGCTCCTCGTCAAGCTTATTCTAATTCTAATATCCTTGATATTCTTTAATATTATGAGATATGGATTTTTGGCTGAGCTTTAATCATTTTTCTTATCTAATTTTATGAGATCCACCTGAAGGCTGCCGCACCGACGCAAATCGGTGAATGTTACCGTCCTCAGTGTATACCGGTTGTCAGTATATTATTTTTTGCACAACAAATTGATTGAATTCATCATGTCGTACTCACGGGAAATCGTGCAATATGTGTGTTGATCAAAATGTGGACACAGTGATTATGTGGTGTGGAAGTGGGACACAGTCAAGCAGCTTGTAGCAGTTCCTTCTCTGGCCACTAGATGGGGTGTAAGACTTACACCTGTCCTCCTCGTGCTGCTGCAGCTCCACAGCAGACTACAGCAAAGGTTTTTTGGGGATTTCTGTGGCTCTAATGAAGGTTGTTCTGTTTGAACACGTCCTTCCAGCGCTGGAACAGCAGCTTAAAAAGACTGGCACAGAAATCTGAGCCGAGCTGTTGAGGAACAACAACAACAACAACAAAAAAGAAAGCAATCAAAGGGAGGGAGAGCGGTGGCAGCATCTCTCTGTGGACGGGGATGTGCCTGAAGAAGGGAGTGACGGATGTGGGCCTAGTTGCTAAGCACGCTGTGCCGCACCAGACAACGGCCCGCTGCTATTTATAGAGCAGGCGCAGTATAAATTTAGCTCATGCATGAAATCAAGGTTTAGCTGCATCAGTGTTTCCTTGCTTCAGCTAGAAGACTCTGAGGCTGGTACCGTCTCAGTTTGAGGACACTCTTATTGTAAGATAATAATAATAATGAGCTCTGATTTATGGTCTTTGCTAGTCTCCTTAATGGACCAATGTTTTGGGATTCTTTGGTGACTTAATTGTGATAAAGTCTCATTTATATTACTGCAGTTTGCCAAAGTGTGCTGTAGTGTTTTGAATGTGTTTATTCGGACAGCTATTGATTTCTGTTCTATTGCCATTCTGTGTGGAAGTTGAATCTCGAACCAGTTTGAGGGAAGCAATCGATCTAACTCAACATAATTTCCATATCATTTTCATTATCAGTTAATCTGTCACTTGTTGAAATGTTTGATTGGTTCTTTAGTAGTAATAATAATCTTTATTTGTAGAGCACTTTTCAAAAACAAGTTACAAAGTGCTTTAACAAGTGTAAAGACAATAATACAAAAACAATACAAGATAAAAGCAAGAAAACATTGAAAAGACTAAAATACACGTTTAAGATAAATATAATAATAATAATAATAATATAGTACTGTTGAATGTAGTCTAACAGAATGATGGAAAAGGTGACATCAAACCAAGAGTCCTGATAATCTTTGTCAGTGATAGAAAACAAAAATGCCTAGAATTATTAATCGATTATTTAAATTGTTGCTAATTCATTTTAATTTAGTCATTTAGCACTACAGCGTGCCAAATTCAAAGTTTCATGTCTCAGTAAGTTGAGTTTCATGCTCCACTAAAAAGAAATGGAAGCCATTATCTCCCATAAAAGCGAGAAAAGTCGATTTTAAAAAAACCTTGAACACCACGGCATGCTTTACGGGATATAAAAATAAACACTTTTATGTCCTTAAAATGTTCACAAGGCCATGCTTTGATGTCCTAGCTAAAAAAACAGAACGTGTCTTACAGCTAGAAAGATCCGTTAATGCTGACTGATGTGCAGTACAGAGCTTTAACCCTGTGTTAAACACACCATAGGGTTCCAGTGTTTAAAATCAATTGGAATCGAATGTAAAGCATCAGGCATCATTAATATTTCTTAGAGAGAAAGAGAGACTATCCTCTCTTCAACAAAATATCCTAGTTCAGCAGTAGAAGACATGCAGAATACATTAAAACAGTCAGATCAGATCCTTTTTAGTTGCACTAGATGCAAATAAGCTGGGCTTTAATAAGTTTCCCCCGAAGACTTGAGAGCTAATTTCCACTTCTTATGAATTAGAGGCTGACATTTTTTCTGATTCAACGAAACTGGGACAGGACTGGGGAAAAAAGTAAACAGGAGCGGGCGGGACGGGAATCATAGGTCCATATTTTAATATATATAAATATGCATTTCTACTATGAATTAATGCATTTTCTGAATTTTATTTTATTTTATTTTATCGGGAAAGGGACGGGACCGGAGTCATTCTTTCAGGAGTGGGACAGACAGGAGTCATTGGACAGGGAAGGGACAGGAGTATTTTTGTGGGACGGAACAGGAATAAAAAAAAAAAACAACACTCCTGTGTCTAATGCGAACGTCCTGTGATGTGCCAACCAATGATTCTCTCTCTTTTCTCTGGAAACTGAAGCACAGAGTTGTTTTGTAATTTCATCCGCTGAAAAACAGGAAACACGTGGCTCCAGAAATGATCTACTTTGGTTTAGCAGTAAAGTAGCAACAGGAGAAACGAGTGTCTCAAAGAGGCGACCATTGTTGTGATGAAGCAACCGGCACGATAGAGTTCATAAAACATCCCCTTATAACTTTCACTCTCGGGCTACTCAGCTGTGCTTTAGATCAGTCACTGTGCTGAGCCGTATGAAAGGATTCAGCATCAGTAAACATGCCGGAGGGGCAACTTTCATCAGCTATGTTCAGCACTGGCTTTTCATTTTTTAATGTCTTTACTTGTGTTTAAATAGACGCTTGTTATATCTCATTGATTAAATGTCATGTTAGACTCTGATTCTTCATAGGTATGCTCTGGACATTTAAAACTTTATATCCAAAAGATAAATCTTTCAGAGCCCCGCTGCTTGCAAGCCGCTGGAGTCCAATGTTACTCCCTGACTGACAGCATCCTGACTCCAGCACACTCCCACTGCGGCAGCAGCAGCAGCAGCTGATGTCTGTGCAGGGCTAGATGGGAACATGAACTGCATCCCAGATACAAAGGCTGGATTCTTCAAAGTCTGCATTTCTCAAATGAATATGTTCCAACGAGGCCTGTTTCATGAAGGGCTTGGTGTTGTTTGAAAATGTGTGTTACTCAAGCAATATTTCTTTTCTTTTTCTCATTTAAAAAAACATGCCAAACCGCTCAGAGCATTGGCGTCAAATAAAAAATGTTTTGCCTAAATAAAATACAGTCTAAGGTTAGAAAAGAATTTACTGTAAAACTTCAGTTAATAGCTGAGGTCCAAACAGCCGCCTACCCCGTTTACTGGCCTGATGTGGGAACACATTTTGACAAATAAACGCAGGTCCCGATTAAACGCCTTGGCCGGTCCTTTGGATGTATAAAACCTCTTAAGCCCCGCGGAGTCGCCCGCTTTAGCTGCTTCTAAGCTGCTCAGATTGTTAATACAAATATTAATGTTTAAACGTGTGATCAGTGTGTCAGTATGGACATACTACACATAGTTAGATTTTCCACAATTGAATCGTTCAGTTCATTTAACAGAAACAACAAGCCCCAAAGTCTAATTCTTAGAAATGTACCTGTGTAACCTGACTGGTACAAGGGATGGAGGAAAAAAAAAAAAGTGCAGATTCATGTTACCTTTAAAGCGCTCGTTAACAATCTGAAGGAGCATTCTGTGCCGACTTTGGATGCGTTTAGATACTTGGTGCTATGGATACATTTTGGTGCTGGTTCTCATTTCAAGGGCTCCTTTGCAGCCTTCACATCTAAAGACTTACTCTGATGTTTTTGTGGTGACTGGGCAGCCGTTGTGGATCAGACATCAGTATTTGAGTTTGATTTATTAGACTAACATCTTTGTATTTTCCTCGGCTAGTTTGTGATCAGTTACTCTGAATTTTAAGACCACCAGTTGAGTGATTTGTAACTGACCAGCATTAGTACACCAGGGTTGGCAATAAGATGATATATATACCTGAAATATAAATTTGTCAGCATATAATACATCTTGCTTTAATAGGTCAAAGTGGGCGGTGTTTTATGAATCAAGGAACAAGACTTTTTAATGGAGAAATTGGATTTTTGCATCAATGTGATGACGTACTGTGATTTGTCAGGTGTTTGTTGCTAAACGCCAAAATAATTCTGTATCGCACATCATGATATATAAAATTACTTTACTCCTATAGTAAGTACGCTGACTGACGGCATGCTTGTGGATGCAGACGCATTCAGCAGCGAGGACATTAGTCGTTATTGTACAGCAGAACCGCTGGATTGCCATCTGTGACA